AAAAATCAATCAATACTTATTTTTAACCCGTTTATTCATTATTGAACAAAAATAGAAAATTTGAAATTTCAGAATTTTACAAAATTAAAGAATTCAAATCAATGATTGATGAATAGTCAAATAAAATTTGCGATTCCATGGATCAATATTAAAAAGATTTTTGAAGAAATATATCGTTTTCGAAGACCAATTTTCCTTCAAGGATCCATCTTTCCGAATGGCATCTGGGAATCCGTATTTGACGTAGTCTCTGAAAAAATATTGAAATTTGAAATTTGAAGTTTGACATTTTTAATTTTACGAAGTTTTGAATTTTTGAATCTCTGAACTTTTCATTTTTTGAATTTTCAAATCTTTGAATCTTTAATTTTTTTTCTGAAATTCCTACCTCAACTTATGAAAGCTCCTCTCATTACATGTCCCATTTTGGTTTCTAAACACAAAATGTCCTCTTTTCAAAACATCCATTTTCGATTCTCCCGGTTTCTTCCCTCCATCCAATTGAATCAAAACTGGCACATTTTCTCTGGGTCCTTCGAAATAGTTAAACGAAGAAACCATCCATTGGGGTAGGAATTCACATTTATAATGGTGATGACCACATAGATATGTCATTATCGAAGAGTCTGGTGATTGATAAGATAGCATGTAGGACTCTAGCTGAAAAAGTGTTTTTTAACCAGTTAAGGAGCATTTCCCAGAGGTTAAGACTAAAAAATTTGAATTCCTCATGCATTTTTACTCCTGCACACCTTTTTTGAAAGCTCTAGCTCGAAGTGTCATAAGGTTTGGTGTTTTGTGTGCAAACACCGAATGCCCCAGATTTTACGACACTTTGAGCTAGAAACCTCAAATTCACCGAGTTGTGGTAAAAAGGCACGGGTATTTCATAATTTTTTGGTTTTTATGACGTAATTCTGACTTTCAGAGGGCATGACATCACTACCGCAAAAAACCAGTTGATGAGCAATTTTTGAAAGTTGATATTTAAAAATTTGAATTCTACATGACATTTTACTCTTACGCACCAAACTTGAGGGTTCTAGCTCAAAGTGTCGTAAGGTGTGATGTTTGGTGTGCAAACACAACCAGATGCACCAGATTTTACGACACTTTGAGCTAGGAACCTTATATTTGGTGTCTTGGGGAGAACAGCACGATGAATTCGAGTTTTTATTTATTATTCCATAATTTTGATTTTTCTAGCTCTAAAATTCAAGATTTCCTGAAAATGAACTTTGAAAATGCAATTTTTTGATGCCAATATTTTTTGAGGATGAAAAATTTCAATTTTTTGACCAACATCCTATATTTTTACCTGTCTGAAAAATTGAAACGTCGTCGGGTTGCCTCTGACAAAAAATGTGGCACCACAAACCCAGTCACGCATTCTGTCGTATGAGGGATTCTAAATTTTTTATCAGTTATCTTTTCGAAAAGTTCCAAAAAAATTACCTCATTTCCAATAGTATCGAAAAGCATATTGGCATCTGGATAGCGGTCTTCAACATTCATCATATCGAAATTTTGGGTCCATAATGTGTCCTGAAATTTTGGATTTTTGAGTTTTTGAATTTCGAAAGTATAGAATTTCTATAATCAAAGAAACCGGAATTTTGAATTTTTGAATTTCTGGAATTTTTGGAATGTCTGAATTTCATGATTTTGGAATTTTTAAGAAAGTCTGAATTCCTACTTGATGCATGGACCAAAAATCAATGCCACGAGCTGCCAAACTTGCACAAATTTTCGCATGGACCACCAGCGCCAATGTATACACCAAATATCCGCGATTCTGTTTTTTTGGGTCCATCGAATCCACAATTGGCTTCAAATTTATCAAAACATTCGGAATTTCCGGGTAATTTTTTCGGAGAATCATTTCGGATTTTTCGTCAAATGCCACGGCAACCAATCGTTGAAGAGTGTTTGGGATGAATTGTAAATTGCAGACGTGATTGAGAACCACATCGATATTTGAGGAGTCGTACTGAAAACATCTTGAAACTTGAAAATTTTTTTTTGAAATTTTTTCGATTTTTTTAATTTTTAAATGAGGGTAGACATCAAAAATTTCAAAAATTTCATTTTTACTCAAAAGATATAACTCTGAAGTATAAATATAGCTATGTACTTAAAAACCTGTAAAAAAACACTTCAAGGACGAAAAAAAGCTCTTTTTTGTCACCCTAATTTCTTCACTAGCTTGCTGCTGCGACGTCGCTTCATAATGTGAAAAACGCGATGGTCGCCTCTTACACGCGTAGTGTAGTGGGTACGCTCTAGGCTAGTATTCAGGAGGTCAGAGGTTCAATCCCTGCTGGTGTTTTTACTTTTTTCTTCCCTTGTTTCCTTCGGATTGAACTTTTTGAACTCGGAATTTCTGAAGGGCTACCAGCGTGCCGCCGAGGCCTCGCTCCGAGGTACCAAAATCAGTTGAAAATGAAGAAACGTGTTTTATTGTTAACAAATAAATTATGAAAAAAAGTACAATTAATTTTTAGAAAGAGACATAACAATTGAAAAAAAAACCACATAATTAAAACAATCCTCGTGCAGGGCTGGTCGTCGGAAGGTGAAGGAAGCAGTAAAAATGGAGACGTCTCTGAAAACCCCAGTCATAAAACAGTTTTTTATTCCTAGAGTAATAACGAGAAGTAATGAGATAAATAGGAACAGTGAAGAAACGGTTATCGAAGAGAAAATAGTTTTTTTCGCATGCCTATAAAAAACACCGGCGACTGGCAAAATAATCGGTCGATAGAACTTTAAATTTACATAAAAAAATTCACTTTTATATGGGTTTTATAATAAATAAGAAAAAAGAGCTTTTTTAATGTTTGAAGTCGTAAAAATTGAATAAATAAAGTCGGGAAATAAAAAAATAATAATGTTTGCGCATGGGATTGCGCGCTTTAGGTGCTAACACCGCGACGGCAAAATACACATTCCCTGAAATTTTCCCCGAAATTTTTGCTGTCTGTCCTCCTTTAATGTAATTTTAGACAATTTTCCTAAAACAAGCTTTTATCCAATCAAGATTTTTTTTCGAATTTTTTCGTAATTTTTTATGCCGATATCCATTGATTTTTATCTCAAATTGAATAACCGGATAGAGGCTTACACAATGTTTTTTCTTTTTTTTTTTTTGAAAATCTGAAGATTCGGAAAGAAGATGAGAAAATTGATTGTGAAAAAGAAAAGATAAATCATTTTATTGACTTCAAAAATAGAAAACATTTTTTTACCAGCAAGCTGGTGCGCCTTCGGGGCGATTTAACCTAGTTTTTTTACTTGTTGGTCGCTCAATGCTTCACTTTTTTTAAAAGGGTCACGTAATCTATACGTATTTTTCAAGATTTTTCCAAAAGTCGTCAGAGTGACACTGGGACGGACAGACGCGTGTAGCGTTTTATATACCAGCAAGCTGGTGCCCCTTCGGCGCAATCCGATCTAGTTTTTTTTTCACTTTATTCGTCGTTCCACCATTCACGTTTTCTTAGAGGGTCACGTAATCTATACGTATTTTTTAAGTTTTTTCAAAGACAGCGTGACATGAGGACCAACAGACGTATCTACATGAGGAAGATTGTTTATTAGGTTGGCAATTGAGTTTCTTTTGATTTTTAAAGCATATATAAGAGAGAAAATTCAAAATTTCCTAGTTCTCCCATGAGCGATAGAAATTTTCGCGAAACTGAAAAAAAGCGAGACGGGAGATCTCGATTTTTAGAATTGCGTCAAGCATGATTAATTGGGGAAATTGGAAAAATTGAGATTTCAAAATTCGATAGAAAATAAATCAATTTTTTCAAAAAAAAAAGATTCAGAAATTCAGAAATTCAGAAATTCAGAAAAATTAAAATGTCTGAAATACTCAAAAAAAAATAAGTTCGGAAATCCAGCAATTCGGAAAACGTCAAAATTTCAAGAATTCGGAAACTCGTAAAAATTGGAAATTTGCAACCTTCAATTGCACATTCTCAAATTCTCAAAAACCCTTTTTTTCAGATCTTCGTTCTCTAAACTTCAATTTCCCTCCAATTTCTGAAAACATTCCTACCAAAATCAAGTACGGTGCTTTTGGCATTGCTTTCAGATTATTTGCAAATTCATCAAATTCATAATCTTCATGAATGTCTTCGAATGGAATCTGGAAATTCAAAAAATGTAAAAAAACTAATTGAAAAATAAAAATTTACCTGTGCCGACAAATCATTCAAAGTCAGTAGAAAATCCTTTTGTCGAAATACTCGGTAATCAGTAAAAATGCTCTGAAAATAATTTTGTCTGAAATATTTCAAAGGTTTTCCAGAAAATTCANAACTAATTTCAAAAAAAAAGTCCCAATCTCAGAATTCATGACCTACCGTAAACCTCCAAATCAATACAGCAGCTGCAAATATACATAGGAACACTAAAAATAAACCAGAATGTTTTGAATAACCCATATTCAATACGAATTCCGAGAAATTCTAAAAGAGAAGAAATCAGAATTTTCGACTAACCCTGTTCCACGGTGTGAGAGATTGAGAAATTGAGATAATAAAACGGCAGGAGATCTCATATTAGAACATTTTCAATTGAATTGGGATGGGAAGTTTAGGAAAAAAATTACCTGAAATTCTGGGAGGATATGGTTTGAAATATGGGCTCAGCGAATGAGAGACATCATTTGTAGTCTGGACCATAGAAGGTGTTTTAGAAACTTAAAGATTGTTTTTTTTGGGCCAAAAGTTCTTGTAATTCAGGAATTCTTTCAAAATTTCAATTTCTTTTTATCTGTTTTTCTCTCCATCCAGATGTCCGTGAAAATCTGAAATTTTTTTTTGGTTGCTAAAACCATGGTAACCCTTTATTTGAATCTGCAATTTTTTTTCTATTATCGGAATTTCGGAAATTTTTGAATTTCTGAATTTCTGAATTTCTGAATTTCTGAATTTCTGAATTTCTGAATTTCTGAATTTCTGAATTTCTGAATTTCTGAATTTCTGAATTTCTGAATTTCTAAATTTCTAAATTTCTGAATTTCTAAATTTCTAAATTTCTGAATTTCTAATTTCTAAATTTCTGAATTTCTGAATTTAAACTTTCTGATTTAAATCTAAAAAATTAGTCGAAAATTGACCGGGACAATAGAAAAAGATCTGTCGATGAGATAACTAAAAAGTGAAAGAAATAATGGGTCATGGATCGTGGAAACACAGAGAGAAGTGAAATTTTTTGTTTGAAGTGAGAACTAGAAATTTAGGAGGTCAAAAAACTATATTCAAAAATTTGGGTACTCAGAAGTTTAACAATCCTTTTATTAATCATCCAATAAACTTTGAATGAAGCAATTAAAGGTGGTGTGCGGTGAAAAATTGATGGAAAAATAGCGCGCGAATTCAAACTTCTAACATTTTTTCGCTCGTTTTCACTTATATAATCTCTGCCAAAACTTCTTAAGGCTGTGCAAACTATCACCAGGCCCGTGGAGCCTTTAATTGAACGACTACCAAGCTTGTAATTACTACAAAAACTTAAAACTTTCAGGTTTTCGTTGGTACGATGACCCAATATCAATCCGAACCACTTTGTGTTGCGCAAGGAGCAGTGTTGTATGGATTGCAGAATGATGATGAGAGAATGANAATGGCAGGTATGTGTTTCATGAAATTTTGTATCATATGGTACGTAGCAATGAACCCTATGGTGCAAATGATGACCATATGGTACATGGCGATGAACCATATGGTGCAAAACAGTGACCATATAGTACATAATTATGACTCATATGGTGCAAATGGTGACCTTTAGCTATGAATCATATGATGCAAATCGGCAGCCATACGGTTCATTGCGATAAACCATATGGTGAAAATCGGTGACCATATGATACATAGAGATGAACCATATGGTACGTAGTGATCAACCATATGCTGCAAATTGATGATCATATGGTACGTAGCAATGAACCACATGGTGCAAATCGATGACCATTTGCTTTGAATCATATGGTGCAAATCCAATACCATGTTGTAGTCTTTGTAACAATTTTTCCAGCTGTTTATCTGAAATTGATGCATCAACATGGGTTTGATCAATAATCGATTTGGCTTGGTGCCAAAAGAAAGCCAACCTGCTCACGTGTTGGGATGTGTGCTCCAAAAGATACATTCTATTGGACTGATGGACAAGCAACAGGAACCGATGGATTCGCATGGGGGCCTCCCCTACATGGAGGACCTCCACAGCCAGATGGCGCCGTCAATTCTTGGGGGTGAGTTGAGGTACCATATGGTACTTATGAAAAGCTATTGGAACCATATGGAAC